ACTGACCATGCTTCCGAGGATGTTCTAGGAGAACCGATCTGCGTTTGCTGCCAAAAGAAAGGGCGTTGGATACAAGTCTGCCCAAAGATCCTGAAGAGTCCAGAAGATGGTAGAGTCAAAGTGTATGGTTGCGCTTCAAGCAAAATCCACTATCTAACTCGATTAAGTTCATGTTCGTTGATTCATGATACATAATGTGATAAGATTGCATTTGAACGTTTTGTAGGATCGATGAAAGGTGAGGAAGCTTGATGAAATAGAGCAAGATGAGTCTAATCACGAAGAAATGGATCTCGATCGCATAAATTTGAAGATTAGATTTTGCGCTTAGATATTTATGATAGAGTTGTTAGAAATTTTCCTTTTGAAATACATAATTTTCAGTGGATTTTGCATTGTAAGGACAAATGTTTTCCGCTGCTTTTATAAATAAAATAAATTTTCGTTTGACTTATTTATTTATTTGTTTGTTCCCTTGCAATGAAATCGTTATGAAAATTGATGTTTGCATATTTCTACAACGAAATGATATGATTCTTATTTATGGAAATGTCGAGAATTTACCAAATAGGGAGAGTTTCTCATCGCCTAAATTTCAATTGGACAGAAATTTGGAATCACGCAACTTGGTTGCATGATGAATGAGAAATTTCATATTTGGAAATTAGACTAATTCATTGACAAAGTGTCAAGTGAAGGACTAGGAGATCGATCACACAAAGTTGTGTGTTGATCAAGTTCACCATACGAGTAACAAAGATATTCGTCATGATTTACTACAGGTTTAGTAAATATGATTATACTTATAAGATTAAGTGTAATTCGGAATCGATTAAAAAGGTTTAAATCAATAGCAAAACGAATAAGAAGAATCAAGTAGGCAGAAAGATAAAAGGTTCTCCATTCTAAGAAGAAGGGAGAGTACCTTTGATGTTTTATGATAGGTCTTAATGATTAAAAACCATATCTCAAATGATCCTCTAAGTGAGTCTTAGTACAATTGAATGTCTAAGAAGAGGAATCAATAATTGAAGAAATGATTAAATCAAAAAGTCAATCATACTTCGTTCCAATAACAAATCTTAAAGTTAAGATTGTGGCAATAAGTGACAAGTATTAAGAAGGTTTTTAACATTCATCAAATGTGGAAAGTTGTGATGTCTTGGATAAGACAAAGACCAACTAGGACCATTTTATGAAGTGTTATGATAAAAACTACACTAACTCTTGAATATTTGGTTGTCAAGAAATGTTTAGGATCAAGGAGTCAGTGGGAGTCTTAATGATCTTGAAAGGTTCAAGAAAAAATCAAATAAACCTTATCGATCATCACTAGCACACGAGTTGAGGTTTACAACCTATCGTGTTGACACTATTTTGTTTTTTATGCCATTCCAATTGAGTTAATTGTGCATATGAGTCCTATAAATTCTCGTTTGAATGCACAAAAGGCAATGACCTTGATCAATGTAAAGTACTTTGATAGGCAAAGGTGAACTGCTTAACTACTTGGAAGACATGGTGGGCAGCTGTGCTACCATAACGCAAGAAATCAAGATTAAGAAAGTTCGGTCCATATGAGTTTGAATTTGTCGTAAACTTTGGTTTTAACAAATTCACATGGATAGGAACACATACACCGTTTAAATCTAAGTGTCATAAGATTTACTCCTTCATGAAAATGATTGTGAGGAAATGCTTTCACTAAGAAAGATTTTAAAAGGATAGTGATTGTAAAATTGCATTCTCAAATTCGATTATGGTTACGGGATCCTTTTCCATGATTTGAGTTGTGAGGTTTGGCAATTAGTCTTAATTGTTTAGACACACATATGAACTATCTAAGGCAAAGGTGTATAAGTTCAAGAAGCTTTGATAAAAGATTATCAAAGCACTAAGTATTAGAAACATGGACTTAAGAAATTCAATAGGTATTGTTTTTCTAAAAATTAAGATGTTTATAAATACATGTCGAAGCTAGTGGGAGCAGAAGTGTTATGTTTTATAATAATCATCATGATAGTGGGAGCATAAACATTATGATTGTATGATTATTAAGAAAGGTATTGCAATTTGGCAATATTAATTATAGAAAACAAGAGTCATTCTTTGCAAAGTTGTAAGGATGGAATAGTTGTTTTGCTATAATTAAGGGAGAGAATATTATGCTTCATTTCAAATCTAAAAGCTTAGGTTGAGAAATGTTGATAAATTTAGTTAAAGGTACATTGTGTGTTCTTAAAATTTCGATTATGATTACGACATTCCTCTTCACAATTCGAATTTTGAGAAAATAGAAAATAAAACATTATGGCAAAAGATTGATAAAGTATCAAATCTTTATGTAAGACATTTTGCATCGTGTCCCATACGCTTCAAGTACAGGATCGATTGCAAATGCTATAATATTTGACCATTCTAAAAATTTTCCAAATGTTTAGCGCATTTAGAGGGAAAAGGGGCAAGAATCGGTTTTGACTAAATAATTAAACAACTATCAAAAGGACAATCCAAAGTTTTCCGATGATTGATCGCTTGTGAGTAGTTGGAAGTATAATATTGGAAAATATGGAAATGTTTCCATATTGGATGGACCATATCGACATTATTATGAATAGATAAGATTCTATTAAGAATGAGTTGTCATATGGAAAATATGGAAACGTGTCCATATTGGGAATTGAATATTGAAAATCTATGTCTAGATTAGAAACTTTTATGCAAAAGGATGTTCAAAGGAATGTACTTTGAGTGAGAGACATCACATCTATGGAATTGTCTTGTAACAATCTCCGATAGAGGACTTTGTAATTTCATTTGCAATAGTCTTTGTGACTTTGGTGCAGTGATATTACAAAAGGATCGTTGCATAAAATGTTAGAATCTAGCATATTCTATAAGTGGCAAGAATTGATATTCTTACATTTATAAAATGGATTAGGAGTTGTGAAATGAGAATGATTGGAAATGTGTTCAATTTGATCTATTTCACAAAGTAAGAACCATAGGTACACATTGTGTGCATGCTAAGGCTATGGGACAAGTATAATAATTCAAGTAAGAAGTTGATTACCCGAAACGACAAATAATGAGTAATCGATATGGTGATAAATAAAAGGTGTTTTATTTATACTCAAAGGTTTGAGGCCATATGGGATTAGTATTATTCTTGTGTTTCACTTTGCATGTTTTGACTTCCTGAATAATTTAATTGATTAAGAACAGTCAAATTATTCGAACGGGCCACAGTTCGTTCATATGTTGGAAGTAGGTATGAATGAAGACTGTCGTGAATTGGTGTGTGGATTGTCTAAAAGAGTATTAGACATAAGCAAATGTTTGCTGCAACGTTCATGAGTGCTTATGAATATGAATTTGAGCATTGGATTAAACCACGCTCACTTGGATCACTCCATGAATTGTATCACGAGTGATTGGTGAGACGATAACATCTTATATTCTTGAAACCGAGATGTGTGAGTTGTATCTTGCGAATCGGTTGCACATTGATAATATGTAAACGCACAAGTAACTTGGTGTCATAAAACATATTGTTGTGTGTGATTCGGTGAGTAAGTGCAAGCAAGCATTGAATCAAAGTTTATTCGTTCCTTTTATCCCAAGTAGGATAAAAGCGATATCTTTGGGCCCCTCGATGATTTAGTGATGACAAACGTAAATGCTCGGCCGGGCTAGGGCTAATTTCATTTGTTCAATTAGTCAGTCGTCATAAATTGGAAGTCGAGAAATAGTACAAAGAGAATGATTTGAAATCATATCTCATATGATATCTAGAATGGAGGAATATATATTCCCTTATCTAATGGACACGCGTATCTGATAGGATCAGAGTTGACAACGGCTTTGGAAAGCTACGATTGCATATCAGGATCTGAAGTCATACGCATAATAGTTATTAGACTTATCCAAGTGGGAGACTGTTGGATTAGTGTCTAAGTCCATAACTATTTTGGTATGTACTTGACCCGATGGTGCATGGTCCTTTTGGGTTGCCTTCACCAAAGCAACTTGATAGGATGAATTATGGAGAGAAAGGATTAAATATGATTTATTAATATATTATGAGAATAATATATTAAAGGAGAAATCATATTGTTTAATTAATATTAGTCAAGAATTAATTGGTAATTAGTTTTGTGACTAAAAGAGATTAATTAAACTTAAGGGACTGGAATTGTAATTATAAGATAATTGCAATTTGGGCTATGGATTGCCTTATATTAAGGAGTGGACGAATTCTATGGGAAAGCCCATGAGGAAATCGTCCAAGGCCTTAAGGAAAGGAATCTATGGGCTGCTTAGGGCTTAAGCATCCAATTTAGGGTTTCCTTGTTAGATAACCCTAATAGCCTAACTATATATACATCCCTTATGACCTAAAAACGTGGCTAAGCATCCTTCTAGGGTTTCATACATTTTAGGGCAGCCTCCATCCTCTCTCCTCTTCATCCTCTTGCTCTTGGTGTTTGTGAACCATTAGAGGAGTGACATTTGTGACTCTAAGCTTTCTATAGTCAATAGAAGGAGGAATTGGATTGTTATTGCTACATAACAATCAAGGTAATATCTTAAACCCATTCTTATGTTAATATGATTACTTGTATGCTAGAATTAGGGTTTATAGTCTTGGATAACTTGCATGTACAATAGAGAAACCTAGATCCAAGCATTAGGGTTTGTATGAGCACATAGGATGCTCTTATGACCAAATCCCATCAAATACAACATCCAATTTATAAATCGGAAAATTGCCAGAAAATAATCCAAGAAGATTCAAGAACGATTTGTTGCCATTGGTACAATGATAAACAGATTGAGCTGCTGAAAAGGCTCAACATGTCAATGCCGAATGAGAAAGTGGTTCAGGAAAGTGGAATTACCAAACTTGAAAAGATCAAGATATGCTAAGAAGGAGAAAAGACTCTGATCCAATAATCAAAGTGAGGTGCACAAAACCAAATTGATTAAAAGTGCTTACAATGCATCTCACAAGGGATGATGATAATGGTCAAGCTGTAGTCCAATACATTAAAGTATTGTTTGTTAATGAATTGGTGAAATTTGGGTACAACGAGTGGTTTCAACTTTTGGAATTAGTTAAAAAGCAGAAAGGAAAATATACTAAGGAATTAAGGCTTGTACTGGAGAAACTTATCAAAAAGGTGAAGGGTCTTGACTCAGTGCTAAAAACTCCCACTAAACCTTCCTCAAACTCAGGGTTTGCTTTAGTGCACGGGAAGAGAGCTTCTCTCAATGTGAAATTCCTTCTTCCTTATGGAACTAAAGTGATTGATAATTATTTACCAATCAATATTAATCCAATTCAAAACACGTTGATTCATAAACATGGGCATGGCATTTTCTACATGGATGAATCACAATGTATATATTTCCAACACTCAAATGATCTTGCCAAAGTGTCCACTTAGCATTTGTTTCATCTAAGGTTCAGGTGTATGGGACATAAAGACCTCGAAGGCAATTATAAAGGTTTGTATTGATTAGATACACTCAAGCATGAATAATGAAGAATAAACAAACATAGAGTAAACAAAAACATAAGAGCAAGGATGATCATAGAGATGTTTTTACTAAGAAAAGGTTCTCAAAAAGAGAATAGTCACACAAAGTGAGGCACAAAGCTCTATTAGGGTTTAACCCTAATAATATACTATATAATTTTACAGAAATGGAGATACCACTATTTTATAGATATATTCTAATGTATGTAAAGTTTGATCTTAATCGCTAAGTTTATTGATAAGATATCTATTCTATAATTGCAGAGTATAGTTACTTAATATACAAACTATCAGTCTGTGATACAAACTGGTCACTAAGATTACGAGGATCACATTGTCGCTGATGAAGCTGTTGCTGGTGCTCGTGCTGGTGGACAACATGTTAGGTGTTTGACTCATCAGGTCATAAGGTGTGAGCTTATAATCTCCCCTTATCTGGTGATCTTAGAACTAATCTTCAAAGGAATCATCAAAATCATCATTGGAGAACTTTTCATCTTTTGTCAAAATCTCAGGTTTTAACCACTTAAAGTCATCAAGATTAAGATCACTCAAACGCTTACTGAGTTCAAGAGAGATCAACACATTATATCCTTGTTCTAGTTATTTATGACACATTCCCTCTAAATGAAGATTTAACATATGCTTAGTAGGAGCAGCAGAAACATCATGAGTGCATTGAAAGCACATTTAGTTTCGACTATCAAGGTAGAAGATACCATGTTTTGTTTCCCAAATGAGCATGTGTTGAATTGGCTTAACACCCACTGTCAGCTTGTTGTTTATGTAGATTGTGACATATAGAAGGAGGAACTTAGTATACTTGGACATTTCGGGCTTGCTTGTTCTATTTGAGGTGGATGGATGAGATGGACCAGCCGAAGGCACTAAGTTCAGCTTCTTAACTTAGTTAACTAATTGTTGAATTTCCAAATTTACCTCCTGAGCATGAACACCTTTATGTTTTGAAATTATCTCCAAAATCCATATCCACTCACTTTAGCAGTATTTAACTAACTCACGAGCAAGAACAACTTTAGTGTATTCATACCCTGCCTTCTTCTTGACCGGATGAATTTCGAGTGATTCATCCTTGGATTTGGAGCACCTGACCTTGATGATGGGATCAAATTTATATCTTCAAGCTAGAAAATATTCAAATTTCTTCTTATCAGTTCGATCATTCATCTCAAAAACCATGTTTTGTTTGGCAAAATGGATATTGAAATGCTGAATATTTGTCTTTTGAACATTAATCCTTTCATCAGCTAAGGCAAGGATATGAACAAGTTTGATGGATCTATGTTTATCTCTTTTTCTTTGAACTGAAGCCTTATGCTGCAATAGGATTTATTTGACCTCCTCAATGGTCATTTTCTAGTTTCCATCCAATTATTCCAAATCAACCATTAACTTTCTTTTCTTAGAAGGGAGATGGGCTAAAGAACTTCCAACATCTTAGGAACTTCCAGCTTCAAAATCATTTTCTCCCCCTGAGAAGGCAACCTTTTTTTATTATTATATTGAGCTTATAATCATTAGAGTTTATGTTAATGTGAGCTCTTTAAGGAATCTCCCCATTAGAATATGCATCAAGATAAACAACACTTAAAGGAATAGTAGTCTATGTTATGAATTTCATATCAAGAAACCCGTCATAATCATCATTATCAGTCTCAGATTGTGTAACACTCATTTCTCATGTATTTTCATTTATGGCTCAAAGTTTAAAATGTTCACATTTTGGTCCTTACATAGGGCGTAAGTTGGACTTATGCACGTTGTAACTCATTAAAATAGATGTGAGGACTTATAGAAGTACGCAGTGCATACCTTAGGTACAAAGTGCGTACTACCGTAGTGTACAACCTAAGATTTTAGGGTTTGAGCCCTATATAAATGACTTAACACCTTTGAGACCTTCTTCCTATCAGCCTCCATCCCCCATAAACATTCCTTGCAAACCTTAGTTCTTTGGTGTGTGTTTTTAGCTTGAAAGTATGTTTTCTTGTGCTTGTGAGGGGGGAAAGAGGTGGTAGATTAGCATGGAAGTTCAAGACAGCTTAGAACCAGAAGTATCTCACCCTCAAGCATCCCCAGAAGGTATAAAGCTTGGAACTTGATGATTTATTTTTTGCGATCTTGCTAGTTTTAGGGTTTGTGTACATTTTTGGTCCCATAGTCATATTCTAGTAGAGTATAAACTACTCTACGCCCTTGAGGTGTAGTTTTCTATAGCATTAAGCATATGGAGTCATAAAAATGATAGCCTGGTCACTCTCATTAGGCCATGCTTGAGTTTTGGAGTCTCAGATGACTTTTGGACCTAAGGTTTGAATCTATACCCATTTGTAATCATGAAAATGGATAAAGTCAAAGACTTTATCCATTGAGACATACCTTTTCATCTACATGTGAAGTTTGATGAGTTGGATTTCAACATTAAGTACTTAATAAAAGGATTTAGATTCAACATGAGTACGCATGACGTATATGTGAGTACGCAACATGTACCTCCTATTTGTCTCGTAAAAGCCAAGCAACCCTCTAAGTGGGGCGTAGAGTTGTAGTACGCAGGTCGTACTCGGTCTGTGTGATGAAATATTGCCCATATGACCAATTGACCTTTGACCATTGACATTTACTCCCATTAAGTATGACTTTATGCCATATGGGGTATTTTGGGTAGGGAATGAAGGTTTGGTCCCTGTTTAATGTTTAGGCGATTGGTAGAGCCAGTGTTGGAGCAATGATCTGTTTAGCTACCTTTTTGATATTGAGGTGAGTTTTCCTTATTGTATTTGTCGGCCGAAATCACCAATGCCAACCCACTAGGTTATGTATCTTTGTATATAAGATGATGCTATGTTGGATACATATTGGATCGGTAGATCTGTATGATTACCTATACTTGTTGGTTATTGATTATTTTTGTATATGTCCACATGTTATGGTTTATTGGGTTGGGGCGGTCCTACTTTGTGCTGAAGGACAAGATACTCAGGGCGGTGCATATAGCCTTAGTCCCTGCAAGGTGATCTAGTCAAGACGAAGGCTTGGGAGTGGTCGAGATAAGATGTAGGCACTGTGTGGCAGTCCAGTCAGGCTGAAGGATCATGTTTTCATTCTGTTATATGTTTGGTTGTGTGTGGTACTTTGGGGGGATTGTTATGGCTTTAGGTACTTTAGAGGATAGAGGAAACCAAAAGCTTTATAATGCACATCATCTTGGATTTTATGAAATTATGATTTTAGGAATACTCTAATTCTTATTTTATGACTTTTGGAAACTATGATTTCATGGTAATTATAGATTTTGGATTGGTTTAAAAATCAAAAACATTACCTTGATTTTGGGATGTTACAAGTTGGTATCAGAGCCCTGGTTTGAAAGAATTGGATGAACATTCATGTGAATCCAGTCTCAAACAAAGGATTTGTAAAAGTTTTCAAAATTGTTTTCAAAAGTAATCAAGGAAGGATGAGATGTGTACGATCTGCCGGACAAAGAAGGTATACCCCAAGATACCTAAACTATTATTCACTTATGATGACTATTTGTATGCTAGTTGTAGGCGAGGGATCTTTAGGAATTGCATTATAGAATTACATGAATTGTGATACGTAATAATCTAGGAGGTTTTCTTTTATGCTAGATGGAATTGACATCATTACTGTAGTTGCTTAGTATATGTACCATAATGGTACATAACTAAGATTTTATAACTTAAGAATGTATAATTTAGACTTATTTTCCATGTCTTGTTTTGTTGCGGGCTTATGATAGAATCAAGTATTCGATTATCTTTGAAATCCAACGTTATATGATTAGCATGCATGAGTTACTACAGGGTTGGTGGAAGTTCCATGAGTGAGTAAAGTTTATAGCAGGCCAACGTGAGAAGGTTTATCCACTCTTGAGAGAATGTATAAGATGTATGCATATCCTAGATGCTGGCTCTTGCGATAAAATGGTCTGCGATGACCCATTGATATGAATACGGGTAGGCATGGAAGGTAGTATGGGCCTGCACTACTGGAAACATGAGGGTCTAGTCTTTCCATAATGATTTTTATAGTATGAATTATGGAATTTCTTATGCATGTTTGGTTCAATTTTAGTATCATGTACACGAGAGGTTCTAGTGGCCCGGAGAGGCTAGGTTTGATATATGATGACATTCAGGAGATGATTATCACTTAGGTGATTGTGGATGCCAGGGAGGCAATCCCAAAGCTATTTGGGTCTATCAAGACCATGATGATTGATATTTTTGGTGAGCGATACGCCACTGTGACTGAGGTTGCCGTTGTTGCGGCTACCGCGGGTGTTGCTGCTGCGGAAATTCAGGAGAGAGGGTCATTCTAGTACTGGGACTTCATCATTAAGAAGCCCTAGAGTTCGATGGGGTCAAGGACCCGATCATTTCTATGATTTGGATTTCTGATGTGGAGGGTTGTTTCTTCACTTTTTTATGTCCAAAGGACCAGAAGGTCAGGTGCACCATGAATCTTCTTCGTCTAGGCACGAAGGACCGGTGAAAGCTGGTGACTTGTTCTTCTACTCCTGAGTAAAGGGTTACTCTTACATGGGGGAAGTTGTTGGAGATGTTTTGCATAAAGTAAGTTCCCATAATGGAGAGAGAGAGAGAGAGAGAGAGAGAGGTTGGATCAGGAGTAGCTATCGTGGAGGTAAATAGAAGAGTTTGTGACGGAGATCACCAAGATGTTCACTGAGAGAGCTCTTTTCTATCTTGATTATTCTACTTCGGAGCATGACTAGATGTCACAATACTAGAGCATGATAGAGATTGAGATTCGACAGTTTGTGTCTACCTAGCGTTACAGTACCCTCTTCAAGCTTCAGGATGCTATGCAAAGATGGGAGATTGAGATTGAGATCTAAA